TTTCTGATTGTAGATATCAGGAAACCCTTGGGAAAAGGGTTGGCTGACGAGATAGCTTCCAGTACACTCCTTGAGTCCGACAATATGACAGCACTGTCGAATTTAGTATCTTGTCTGTTGCAGAAATCCAAAGCAGTTAGAATTGCCCAGGCCTCCGCCGAGAAGATCGACGTCCTACTGGGTAGCTTGAGCGAAACGTGTAATGATAATTCCGGAGAGAAGATGCCCACTCCCGAGCTAAATGAAGAGTTCGTGACAATTCTGGATCCATCTGTATAGAATGTTACTGCTCCGGCCAAAATAATGCCTGCCTTTTCCATAAACGCCGTTATGACGTTATTTCGGTTAAAGCATGGTTCGATGTATACCTTATGATATTCTGGTCTAAAAATCAGTGATTCATATTCTGCCCTCATGCACGCCGGCCCTGCGGTCTTGTGGATTTCTTGCAGATCGTCTTTAATCTTGATGTAAGTCTTCAATACCGGGATGTTTTGCAATAGCCAGACACGTTTATGAAATGAATCCGATCTAGACGAGGCCGCCTCCATGCTTTCGATGGTAGAATTGTCAGTTCTTGCGACGCTTCTGTAAATGAACCGAGCGTTTAAGCAATTCCATTCTGGTATGGAACGGAGGTTCCCTGGACTCTTCTAGCATTACATTAACAGGCGTGGACATCCGGTACCCCATAGCTGTCCTGATCGCTTTATTTCTGAGTTTGAGGAGACTTTCCAGCTTAGTGAGATTCCCTTTGGAGAAGAATACTTGGTGGCCATATTCAAAGATGCTTCTCAGAATGGATCTATATATGTTGAGTAATAGAGTGGGGTGGCCCCCCCACCAGACGCCCGCCAGAGAGGAGATCGCGTTAGTTATTTGCCGGCACCTGGAAGTGATAAAGGCCAAATGAGCTTTTCCTGAAAAGGATTGATCAATTATGATGCCCAGAAACTTGTGTTCAGTGACTAAAGGTATCGCTTGCTGTTTGATAGTGATAGCCTCGAACTCGGTTGCAGACCGGCGACTTTTAACGAAATTCATTGATGAAGACTTGTGGATAGACAGTTCCATACCTTTGATCTTGAGGAAGGAGTCAATCTTTTCGATTGTCGCAGCGAGAGAACTCACCACTTTTGGTCTCTCTTTTCCAGCCGCCCAAATCACCAGATCATCTGCAAACTGGAGTACCCTAACTCCAAATGGGATGCACGATGTAATTCTTCTGACGTAAATGTTGAAAAGAAGAGGGCTAAGGATGGAGCCCTG